GTAGTGAGGACGTAGCCTAAGCCTCAATATAGGCCAATGAATTTATAAAATACAGAGCATCGGTTTTTCAATACAAAAAGTCTGACAATGAATGCAGGCATTCACCACCAGACATTTTGGATTCAGTCTTTGTGAGGAACGAGTACCTGTAGCCCCTTCTAGTGCCTTTAAAACTTCATTTTGGAATGAGAAAGTATGTTTCTAGCATTGCCGATACACAGACATGCTTTTTCAGTTTAAGACAAAAACATTTTTGGTGTTTAAATGCAGCCAGGGGGACTACATCCTCAGAGAAGTGAATCCAAAATGCCAGTTCATTTTTTTTAGCTCCCTTGGGACCCCTAAAACATTGGCACTTTGTCCTATGGGGCCATTACATTTTAATGCAGTGGCACTGTTTGAAGAGTACTGTATGGTTGATCACTCCTTTCACATTTATCTTCACAAGTATGGGAAAAAAGTTATTTCTTTTCTCCTCAATAGGCAAGGAAAAATGCTGTAAGAAATTGCTAGGCAGGTATTATATGTGCTTGTATTGGCTATGTCTGTACTTTACCTTAGTGAAACTGCTTTAGATTATAGCTGTTGCACAAGAAATGAGTTTAGGGTGTATGGACACAGGCAGGTTGTGAATATTCCTAATATATCAATGAAACAGCACATAGTTACACCTGAAAAATATAAAACTACCTCCCTACACCATTCACTCTGGACCAAATACTTCTCTCAAAGAGACTAGTAGAGCCTCCCTGACTTCAAATGGAATTGCACAAGTCTAACACAATGCTGGCTATGTGTGTGTATGTATTAGAACATAGACAATAGTGTGGAAAATGTCTATGAACACTAGTTGACTTTGAAAATAAATGTCAATTTGACCATGCTAACAATTCTCTCATGCTCATTTTTATGAAAATTCTCACACTCCAACTTTAACAGCATGAATATTCATGAAAAAGGTGAATTTTAAGCTCAAATGCTTCAATATTTGCCATAAGTGAATTTCAAAGCCCATATTAGATTAAAGTTCTTACTGTGTTACATTCAACATCCAATTGGGGAGTAGACAAGAAAGTTCAGGCTTTGTTGAAGTTAGACTATCAGATATTTGCAATGAACTAATCATAAACTCTTCAGACACAATTTTTTTTTCAAATTTCAAACAAATCAATTTATAAATTTCACTGTCTTCTCACAAACGGTAAGGCCTTTACGAGATGGTCACGTATCTGTAAGAATCATACAGCTGTCCCAGGCACTCAGGCCTTACAAATGCTCTGTAGCAGAAAATGATCATGTGCTCAAATATTAAATGCTGGAAAGAAGTTTTATACAACGTGAACAAAGTTGCTAAATTATATGTTTTCACTCACTAAAAAATGCTCATGCTGTCCTGAACCTTAAATTAATATTCTTTTACAGTAGCTTAATTAAATCCTCATTAACAAGTATCACATTCTTTGTAAGTAGTGTGACTTGTACTGAATTTAATTTGGCGCTATTCAGAAACACCAGCTGCTAAACCAGTGTATTTCCCTACAGAGTGGGTTTGCAAAATCTGCACACTCCTGTGGAAATGTCTATTACCATCCATTCTCTCATCCTGGGAGAACCTGCAGAAATCGTTAGCAAGTTTTTAGCTGACCCTATTACAATATTCAAAGTGCTGTGGAAATACTCTATTGTATTGTTTATCTTGTTTTGGAGATATTTCCTAAAAAGGAGTGGTTTAGTCTTAAGTGTACCAGACAACAAAATACTGATATACTCCTCAGTTTTACTGCTACAGTATATTGTATGAAAGCAAATCATACCTTTTCCCTGCACCAATTCACTCAAGACAGTATCCTTGCTTTATATGCAGGTTTGCATGCTGTGCATCATAATTCTTTAAATCTGCACATTGCTGACAAAAGAGGTATTTGTGAAACTCATTCACTCAGTGATCAAAATGATGCATATATGAGAAAATAATTTACCCCAGGTCTCTGAGTTATGATGAACTGTTCATTATGAGGAGCTTGCAAGTGTAAAATTAGCTGTTCCAGAAGAACTATAGTGCTCAACACCAAGCTACTGTAACAGACAATATGTACAGCAATCCAATATTGCTAAGAAATAACACTTAACAATGGAGAACAACTTAACAATGGAGGCAGCCAAATAAATAAATACACATTTTAAAGCAATTCTTGCATGATTATGTATATAGTAATCTCTGTGTTTAAAATATTGTAATTAGAACCCAACAGATTATCATTTCAATTGTAGCTAACTAACGGTAGTGTATTAACCATTTCTGTGCCCTAGATACAAAGACTAGATTTGTTTTCCCCTCCTTTCTACAGGAAGGGATAGCTGCGGGGAGGGATTGCTCAGTGGTTTGAGCATTGGCCTGTTAAACCCAGGGTTGTGAGTTCAGTCCTTGAGGGGGCCATTTAGGGAACTGGGGTAAAAAAAAAATCTGTCTGGGGATTAGTCCTGCTTTGAGCAGGGGGTTGGACTAGATGACCTCCTGACATCCCTTTCAACCCTGATATTCTATGATTTGAGGTTTGAAAGGGGGAAATAATTGATTGTGTCCCACGAGACATAATCAAACTCGCTCATGCAAGCTGCCAGAGGTACTGATGCCAAAAATTTACAGATAGGCAAAATTTCAAGTATATACAAGAGTACCCTGAAGTGGCCAAAACATTTAAACTTGGACACCTAACATTAGGCACTGAAATCCATATTTAAGCACATAAATATGTGGCCAGATTTTCAGAGGTATTGAGCACCTGCATCTCCCTCCATTGAAATCACTGGGAACTACAGCTGCTGTATTCTGCTCTGCCTCTCCTATCATCAAATATGTTGCAAAGCTAAGTTCTGATTCCAGAATCTTATTGTATGTCATGCGTGTACCAGTCAGAAATAAATCAACATGGTTCACCCACGCTTTTGTGGGGTTGCAGTTCAATTGTGTTTTGACTTCCAAACATAGCAAATGTGAGATGAAAGTCACTGAAGGAAAAGCAATACAGTATCCTACGATGTCATTTTTACTGAGTTTCTATTCTGACTATAGCCACACTTTTAAAGTGATGAGATATGTGGTGTATGATATCAGCCATTCACAGGGCTATTTTTTTAAAAAGTTGATAGCAGGCACTAATGTGAGTATCATGACTCTTTTCAGGCAGTAGGTGAAACCTTGAAGAAAAAGTGGCTCTGTCTTCAAAAAAGTGACCTGACCTTTGCTTTGGTGGGTTTCTACTGTGCAAGAAATAAAAGCCACTGCATGCTTTCTGATGCATCCTTTTTTAGCTAATAAACTACTTCTCTATAGCATTCAACACAAAGGGATTAGGTTTCTGAAAGTCAAACAGCATGTTACTAATGCTAGCTAAATAGTAGCTCCACATATTAAAGAAAATATTTTCATGGATTTGTACCATATCAAATGAATCGTGAATAAATAAATGTTTGGACAAGAACCTTTGATATGCTTTGCACTTAGAACTCTCTTCTCACCAAATAAGAGAGAATATCCTAATCTGAAGTAAACTTTACAAGGCCTTTTGCAGTTCTTTGGATATCAAAGGAATTACAAATTGAGCATGCCTATGTTTTATGACACTTATGGTCTGAGAACTTCTTGCAGCATGCAAAGAACTCTCTCTAGGTTAACTGCAATGCGTTGCACAAATAAGTTAATTTGACCTTGTTTTTTCATAAACATTGTTTTAAAATTGCAATATTATGCACATGTTTTTGAGCTGTGAACGATTATATGGTATTTGTGATATAAAAATTACATCACATTGTTTGGTATCAATAAATAGTATCCTTCTTAGGACACAGTATACAATGCTATTTTAAATCATTCTTATTATACTGTACTGTAGTTAAGAAATACATTCGTTAATGAAATGTATGTAAGCTTAGGGCAAAATTCTGAAGTCATGGAGCCAGATCCTTCAGTCTTTGTACACCCCAAACTCCCATGGACTTCAATGGAGTTTTGTGAGTGTAAGAAAAGTCTAATCAAGCTCCACTACTCTTCTCTCCCTACACCCTCAGACATTCACTGATACTTACAGAAGTTCTATACATACAGGGAGAGCAGAGTATCAGAGACTCACGATCTACAATGTAGATCCAAGAGGAGAATTTTGCCCTTAAATTTAGAGTATTTAAAGGAGAATTTAACTTTCATTTTACGTAAGCTGTAAATCTTCATAACAGTCTGATTTCTTTTTGTCTATAATCTGATTTGAGTAGAAAGCATGTATATTTCCGCTGTAAAGTTGCAAATAACTACAATTAACTAGTGGTGAAGAAATTAAGGGCCTGATCCTCCAGATATTACTCATATGAGGGCCAAGTTCTGTGAGATTCTCAACTTCCTTCACTCCTGCTGATGTACTCCCACGAGGCCTCACAAAAGCAAGGCAGTTTGTAGTCCTATTGACGTCAATGGAGTGATTCATATGAGTAAAAGCTGCAGGACGGGGCCCCAACTCTGTTATCAATTAAGTTTGGGGGGGGAGGGTTGTTTACTTGTTTGGTTTTGGTATTTTGTTTTTAACAGTATGTGTGTATTTTATTTTCAACAACAACATACTTTTACTTCCAGCGTAACACCGTCATTTAATTACTGGATTGTTCTGGGGTGTATTTTTTGTAACCAGTAACAAAGATTCCTCCTGACACAAGCCATTGTTGATTTCACTGTTGTAGGGGAAAGGCTCTAGGGCGGCAGATAAGGCTGTTGCCATGGTGATGAAGGAGATACCGAGGGAGGAGTCTGCAGAGGAAAAGCCCCTCCTTACTATGACATCACAGGTGGGCAGAATGTTAGGATTCCAGTAGGCAGCTGACATATGTTAATCTAATGAAGAATGTAATTTAACTAGCAGATAAGCATTAACATTCTCGAGTCAAAACTTAACAGGCAATTATAGTTTTCCCAAAAGAAAAAGCTATTATAAAATGCCACACATAAAACAAGGGGAATGAGGAGAACTTCATTCATTGTTTAGGTTTTCAATTGGTGTATATTAGTTTTAGTGATTCTGCTTGAGCTTGACCCTTCAGAAAATATTTTATACAAAATTAAATGTTGTGTCATCATAACATACTATAGAAGATAATAGCCTATGGTAAATAAATTAACTGCTTGTGCTTTGAGCTTTTGAACAAAAAAATGCAAATTTTCTGATCAAATGATTTGTAGTAAGCATAATATACATATGTCAGTTACCAGTAGAGTATTTAAAATTGATTTTAAAAGGTCAAATATTATTCATGCTGTCAGTATTAACCTATCATAATATATATATATATATATACACACCTATTCATATGTACAATATGTATATATAAAATCATATATAACAACCACTTGGTAGTGGTATCATTTATAAATACATAAAATCCCTTAAGTTTTCACTAGCATTTAACTCATATTTCAAATTAGATTATTTTACATACTTCATTGTTTTCATCTTTGTTAAGCCAGTAAATGCAAGAAGACAGGTCCATTACCTGAAACTTGATAGGTGGTAGACTATAAGTAATGAAAATGACACAAATGTATAATACATCTGAATTGGATAATTTAAAAAAAAATCACGTGGCTAACCAGCAACTTTGGCTTAAATTTAGCAATATTTTCCCCAGCAACATACTAGTAACAGAATTTAATACAATTACTTGATTTGATGCTTAATATTTAACATTAAAGTACACAAGGTTATTCATATTCAACAATAGGTTTGATGTCATACATTATATGGCTTTTCTTACATAAAAATAATCTTCAACAAAATCCAAAAACCTTTTTTCTACTGTAGGGTAATAGATATTTATGTTTAAAAATAATATGCGACTTATAAAATGCCAGTACAAGCTTACCTTATAGCCTGTATAAAATGTATTACACTAAGTCAATTAATTAATAATAGAATTTTTGATCATTGACATTTTCCTATACATTGGAAAACATTTGTCAATTTCCTCCTAAACCTCTGTCAAATGTTGTATTATACCTGTGATATACTGTATTAGTTAAAACACGATTGCATGAGGGAATGGGATGCTTTGTTTAATGCATCACATTCCAATTTTACACTAACCAGTTTATGAATCACAAATATTGAAATGAGGGGTGAAATCCTGGGCCCCTTGAAGTGAATGGCAAAACTCCTATTGACTTCAATGGGCCAGGACTTCATCCCAGGTTCATAACATGTTTGATGCACTATTTGTATTGGTTGTTTGTCAATTTCATTCAGCAATAGTTTGTGACAGTTTTTCTAAGTAAAATGCTCGTGTTTATTAGTCAGTGTAATTTTTTCCACTACACACAAGTACCTATTTCCCTGCTATGCACCAATGGGGTGCACAAGCCAAAAGGAAGCAGAATCAAGTGAAAAAGTGAGTATTTTCCATAGCCACCTCTGCATCATGTATGTGTTATGTATGGTATATGATCATATCATATTTATCATTTGTATCCTAACTTTCTGGATGTGTTGCTGTATTAAGATTCTTATGTCTTTAATGTCTCTGTGCAAACCTCTTGTTCAGGTCATTCATTCAGAATACTGTGTTGCTATATGGCAATATACATTCGGCCTTTACTAATGGTATATTTGTCCTGATTCTTCACATGATGAGAGAGATGGATGTGGCTGCCGCTCACAGGATATAATATGTATATCAAATGGAAATAATTACTAATTACCACTGGCCAAACTTTCCAAGTCAAATCAAATTTAGGTCAAAAGAGTAAGGTCTAGTCTTTCAAAGGTCATCTACTAGTCACACAGAATCAGCATTGAAGAATACTGTGTAGCTGTGTATTTTTTGTAACTGTAATGGTTATCTCAAGTTCTCATTAAGAGCCTGGTCTTGCAGCCCCTCGCCTGTGCAACTCCCATTGAACTCAGTGGGAATTTTGCATGTGAAGTGGCTTCCAGAATACATGCAATTCCTACTTAAATAGACCCATTTGTTTTCATAATGGACAAAACATGACACACACACACACAAAGTGCTCAGTGAAACTAGGACTTACCATGCTTGATTGGGAAAGAAAACTCAGATGAGATCAGTGGCGTCTACAGTATAGGTATGAGACATACAGTCCCTGGATTTTGTGAGAAATTGCCAGTTATAACGTGTGAAGGTGCTTTAAGTAAAGCTTCAAGGAAGCTCCCTCTCTCCTCTTCTCCCTGGAAAATACCATATACATTCACTGGAGCACAAGCTGGACACATATTCACATTCAATTATTTTTATGCTCCTATCCAGCCTCTCCTGAGAAGAGGTGACACTTATTTGTTGAGAGAAATAATCACTGTATATTTGAAATATTTTTTTCAAATTCATGAATATAGCAAATATTACTTTACCATAAGTTACATGATCAAATATAATCACAGATCCTCAGCTGCTATGAATTAGCATAGCTTTGCTGATTCACACCACCTGCAAATCTGGCCCATCGTATCAACATTAAAGAACATACTACACTAGCAGCAAGATACACCATGATTTAACAGGTCTTTTCAGTCTCTACTTTCTGTGAGTCTATCTCAATTTTGTCAGTGAAAGTCTCTTTATTGGCATAAGAAGGCATTCAGATGTATCCAAATTTAATACTGTATATCAAGTATCTGTGCAGAAAGCAGGGTTTTAGTGTTAATGGGATTTGGTACAATGTGTCTCCATTTTATATTACTGTCTCCCTGTCTCTTGGTAAGAAGGTTCAAACAGAGAGAGAAGACAAATTTTTTAAAGTGCATTTGTTATTCATGGAAGCTAGAAAACGGGAGAGAGAGATGTAATCTATTTACAGAAAATCATATATTACTGACTGCAGCTGAGTGACTAATGGAGAAAATTATTTATGAATATTCATGTGAATTCAAAAGTAAATTTCTATTTGACCCTCTTTGCAAGTTTTGTGTGTTCACTTTTTAGAAACATTTGAGCACTTGAGAATTATTTACTAGCAGGAATAACCATGAAAAGTTCAGTTTACACTCAAATATTCATTGAAGACACATTTTGAATTGTACAATCAACAGTCAGATTCACAATTCACTCTAGGTCAGTTAGAGATTTAGGCCCTGATTCAGCAAAGCACTTCAACATGTGCTTAATGTTAAGAATGTGATGAAGTGTTTTGCTGTATAGGGAAGAAGTTAAACACATGCTTAAGGGCTTTGAGGCTTACCCTAAGTGCCTTACTGAATTGGCAGCTTAATTCACCCGATAAAGGAACTGAATCAATACCACATGATTAACTAATCAATACAATGCCATTTTTGAATAGTCACAGTCAAATGTTTATGAACACTCTACAGATCTAGAATTATTTGTTGAAGAAATTCACTAATGATTTTGAACAGTGAATAAATGTAACAATCATAGAAACATAGACCTTGGAAGGGACCTTGAGAGGTCATCTAGTCCAATCCCCTGCCCTCCAGGACTAAGTATTATCTAGACCATCCCTGACAGATGTTTGTCCAACCTGCTCTTAAAAATCCCCAGTGATGAAGATTCCACAACCTCCGTAGGCAATTTAGTCCAGTGCTTAACCACTCTGACAGTTAGGAAGTTTTTCCTAATGTCCAACCTAAACTACCCTTGCTGCAATTTAAGCCCATTGCTTCTTGTCCTATCCTCAGAGGTTAAGAAGAACAATTCTTCTCCCTCCTCCTTGTAACAACCTTTTATGTACTTGAAAACTTTTATCATGTCCCCTCTCAGTCTTCTCTTCTAAACTAACAAACCCAATTTTTTCAATGTCCCCTTATAGGCCATGTTGTCTAGACCTTTAATCATTTTTGTTGCTTTTCTCTGGACTTTCTCCAGTTTGTCCACATCTTTCCTGAAATGTGGCATCCAGAACTGGACACATTACTCCAGTTCAGGCCTAATCAGCGTGGAGTAGAGTGGAAGAATTACTTTTCGCATTTTGTTTACAATACTCCTGCTAATAGATCCCAGAATGATGTTTGCTTTTTTTGCAACAGTGCTATACTGTTGACCCATATTTAGCTTGTGATCCACTATGACCCCCAGATCTCTTTCTGCAGTACTCCTTCCTAGGCAATCAGTTCCTATTTTGTATGTGTGCAACTGATTGTTCCTTCCTAAGTGCAGTACTTTGCATTTGTCCTTATTGAATTTCATCCTATTTACTTCAGACCATTTCTGCAGTTTGTCCAGATCATTTTGAATTTTAATCCTATCCTCCAAAACACTTGCAACCCCTCCCAGCTTGGTATCGTCCACAAACTTTATACATGTACTCTCTATGCCATTATCTACATCATTGAGGAAGATATTGAACAGAACCGGACCCAGAACCGATCCCTGCGGAACCCCACTCATTATGCCTTTCCAGCATGACTGTGAACCACTGATGATTACTCTCTGGGAACAATTTTCCAACCAGTTATGCACCCACCTTATAGTAGCTCCATCTAGGATGTATTTCCCTAGTTTGTTTATATCACAGACTCTTTGTGAACAATTTGCCAACAAGAAAACATTTGCAAATCATTTGTTGAAAAATAATCACTCCATTGTGTTCATAACTAATACACACGAGGTATGCATATGTAGTTCATGCAAGTTTTGCAGAGACCCGGCTCTGTATCATTTTAATGTCAGAGGGCAACATACAGCTGAAACACATACACAGATTTTTGCACAAATAAACCTATGGAAGTTCAGCATAAAATCAGATATAACATAATATCTAATGCCAAAAGGCCCAAAACTGACCTGTATAACCAAGGAAAGCCTTAGTGGTTCCCCCACTG